GGGGGGGGGGAGTTCTTCCTGCAGACAAACTATACCAGAACTAGAGGCACAGCACCATCTGCTGGGTCATGGGCAAACGATATCCGATGGTGTCTTTCACGTTCAACCGATGTTTATTCCATTGCTGTTCGATTTCAAAAAGAGGGGGGGGGGAAGCTATAGGCAGTGGTCGAAAAAACTAAATTAATTTTGTAGTTTACTACAACTGCATTGTTATAATGTAGTTAACTAATTAGAGCCGTGATAGCTTAGGGGCTAGAGAGTTCGCCTCCCAATGAGGTGAACCGGGTACGAATCCCCGCGATGGTTGATCGATACGAATTCCACATCAGGTTTGCACCGAGCACAGTGTTGACTTAAAAATATCCTCAGTGACAGACGGATTATGGGTTAGATTCCCCTTGCCGTCAGGCTAACCGTGGGAAGTCTTCCTGGTTTTCTTCTCCATGTAAAGCAAATGCGGGTTAGTTCCATCAAAAAGTCCTCCACGAAGGCTAATATCTCTCAACGCTTGCAATTTTTTAATTGTTTAATGCTCTTTTATTTCCCTCTAAGAAATTAAGTACATCGGAAATACGTTCTCTTCCTTTTAAATAACACAAATGTTTCACGAATGTGTATTCGCATGTAAAAGTGTGACCGAAGTGATTAATTATCTATTTCTCCTAACAGCTAGTTTAAATATTAGTTATACGCGATTCCAAATGCGTAATTTCTATTGACCCTCAGCTGAAGCCATAGGGTGATTTTCATTGCATCCATTGACTGAAACACGAAGACTTGCACCTATCAAATTCGAAACAATTAGTTGCGTTAGAACCACGTTTCTTTTCTAAACTAACGTTAAAAGTAGTTGCCAGGCTCGCTACAAACTACAATTATTTTGTATCGCACTACTTCCTACACTACAAGCTACGAAAAAAGTAGAGACTAAAGTACACTGGGGTAAGAAATTAAGAGAATTTGTAGACCTGGTCCCTTACCTCTGGAACTACAGGACCGATTTTAACGAAATTTGATACGTACATACATTGATACAATACAAAACAAATAACCATGCAACAATTGTAATACACACGCATGATCGTGCATAACACTCGTTGGAGTCGGTAAGTATGAAACAGCGGTCGCAGAATAAACAAAAAAAAAGGGTAAATATGGTTTCCTTATACAGGCCTTGCAGCGTGATTTCATACTTGAAATAAGGCAGTTTATAATTTCCTGTGGCAACGGCCTGAATTGTCCTGTGGCAATTTCTTACCATCCGACTACAACGAGTGTTACGCACTATCATGGGTGTGTATTACAACTGTTGAATGGTTATTTGTTTTGCATTGTATTAATGTATGTAAGCATCAAATTTCATTAAAATCGGTCCTGTAGTTCTAGAGATAATCGACCAAGTATGCAAATTCTCTTAATTGTAATGCGCTAGTTTTGACCACTCCCTAGCGGGAAACTTAATTTTGGTATTGATTCTTATGGAAGAAGCTATATATAGAGAAAGAAGAACTCACTTCCATGACTGAACCTTCAGAGCAGTAAAGGGCAGCTAAATCAGATTTCTGCAGATAAAAAAAATAATGAATTCATGAATGATAATTTAAAAAAAATCTTGAAAATTAAATACACGTGTGAGAACTTGGAATGTTATATTAAAAAAAGCATACTATTAGAAAAAAATTGCTCTGATGCAGTTTAGAAAGTCAAACAAGAAATTTATTTGAATGTTCTGAAAACTGAATGTTCTGAGTTATAAAAACTCATCAATGGTTCTCATTCTATTTTGAGGAAGAAAAAATCATTTCGCTGTTATCAGAAAAAAAGTTGTTTTGCATCATCCATTGTATCATTAGTATTACGAGTGTTAAAATTCAATTTTTAAATGAAACAAACTATCTGGTTTTGAAAGGCCAAACTTACAGACGAGTACATTCCTGAAAATGGGTGAATTACCGCAGTCTTAATTTGTAATCAACGATCCCTTTTACCCTTTTTAAAAAAATTGGACAGATATTCACTTTACCTGCTTTTTCAAACAGCTGCTTTTACCAGAACCCACGAGTTAATACATGGAACAAAAATATCCACTTAGCTTCTTGAAGCAGACGATTATTAAGTCAATAATTTAAAAACTATTTCTCTTTTCAAAAGTGACCTTTTATCTTTGATGAACACATTAGAATAAATCAAACTGAGAAAAAACAACAATAACAATAAGCAAGAGAAGATTTGAATTTTAAAAAAAAATGGTATAGTGCATACAATAATCTTAATGTTTGTTCTGCTATTAAAAAATAAGTTTTTCCTTAAAAAAGAATTTTTTAATAGCAGAGCAAAACATAATAATTTTTTTTTTTTTAATTTTGCACATAGGCATTACGATCTAAGTGTGCTCTCAAGAATTATGTTAAAAACGATTGCACGGTTACAGTAAAAGAGACTAAGTTACGAAATTTTAAAATGGCAACACTTGCTTTCTTTCTTTTTTTGTTGTTGATCGAACCGTGATTCTTAGATTAAAAAACTTAAAATGGTGTTAGTACGTTATTTTTATATAAAGAAATCGTGACGCCAGGCGGAAATAAATAAAGGGGCAAACTTTTTCTAAAAAAATAAAATAAAACCAGAAGCAAACAGTAAAGAGGAGATTTGTTTTTCACGCATTTTCCATGTGTCCGCATCACTTGTCGATAATTTGTAAAAATGTTTCCTTTGCAATTTCTTCTCTGTTTTTAATGTGTTTATTATTATTAAATCACTTGTGGTAAGCTTTCGCGAAAAATATCGACTCTTGGTAATGGCCTATAGTTGCAATTTCTTATGCTAAAAATATCGCCCTTTTATACACTTCGATAAAAAAAGTGGATGTTTGCCTTTAGAGAAACTTTATCACTTTAACCGAGAGAGCATTACTTTAAAGTGGGTATTTCTACAATTATTGCGTGCTTACTGAGGCAACTTGGAAATTGTTGTTCGTTCCTCTATGATCCAAATCATGACAGAGGCAGGCTACAAAAAGGGCCAAACTCTCCAGTTCGCTGAAAGATTGAAAGAAAACATTTTAGTACACAATATATTTTATCCCCTTACATAATTTCGATGTGTGTTCAACTTACTATAGATAATTTCCCATAATGTCAGCATTTTTGTGCATTAGATAGCAGAAATGTCCGACTGCAAATGCGTGCATCCAATTATGGTAGGGGGGATCCCTGTATCCCTTCTTCACCATCAGAACGAACCTGTAAATACATTTAAGGGTGAGTTGTCTATCGTCCCAAGATTTCACAGTAGAGACAGGCTTTTTGTTGGGACACAATTTTTTTTTTTGATCACGTGCTTCCACCATCTTACCGGCCACATAACACTTAGCCGGTGTGACAAACGGAAGAATAAAAAAAGATTAAGACTGCATGAAACTAACATACCTTTTTATTTTAAAATAGTAACTGATATAATCAGTAATGAAATAATAACTGATTATCGGGTCATTATATGACCAATTTTGATGCAGAGATCCAAGCAATTTATCTGGCATTACAGAACCCAAAAACAAGATCTGACGAGTTCTTAAGGGTGGTTCTATTGGTAGACTCCATTTCCGCAATTCAAGCAATCACAGAAAACTAATGTTTTAAAACTAAGCTGTTAAGCGAAATTCAGCTCGATATAAAACTCCTCAAGGAAATGAATAAAACTATAGTTATACAGTGGATCCCTTCACATATTGGTATGGAAGGCAATGAGAACACAGATTATCTGGCAAAAAACGGAACAACTATGCCTCAAGAAATAACAACCGTCACACCTGATACTCTTAAAAAATACGTTATGAAAAAACTCAACGAAATAAATAATTATGATTTAACTATAAAATCAAAAGGCAAAATATGGAAAAATATTAAAGACAATTGGAAATTTCTCTGTTGCCAACCCCGTAAAGAAGCAGTAACCCATTTTAGGCATAAAACAGGCCACGATTGCTTATCAGAACATTTATATAGCATAAAAATTCTTCCCAGGAAAACATGCCCAATTTGTGACACAGTTGTATTAAACTCTGATCACCTCTTGTTGTGCAAGGGACTAGATAGGAACTCCCAGAAAAGTGGGAATGTCACTAAATTGTATTGGAATGCAAGAACTCTCATGAATTGTCACTAATTTTACCTTTTTCATGTTAATGTTTAAAATTTTATATTGTTGAAATGTTTATTGATTCAAATGTTTATTGTTCTTTTTGTTCACTTTTCCTAAATTGTTGAATTGTTTCTTTGTTATTTTTCTGCTCCTCTGTGATGCAGGGAGCTGTCAAATTTTCTGGATTGAATTCCTAATAATGCCATATGAAACACACATAATATCTGATTATAATCTGTAGAAAGTGTAAAATTCATACTCCAAATGAATTAAAATTTTTAAGTGCAGAAAGAGAAAAGAATGCAGATCATCTTTTTCTTTCACGTTCCTGACAACATTTTAGTTTTCAGTATCACTTTATCAATTTCCATTTCATTCACTTCAGGAATCCTTTATTTTCTTATTAAAAAAAGGAATACTACTTTTAAAAGTAAAAAAACTCAATCATCTTCGGTTAAAATTTTCCAACGCTGAAGATTTAATAATCGTCGCTGAACAGCAAACCCAATTTTTGGGTTTGCGACTACTAATGTTCAACTCCGTAGCTTTGCAATTTTGAACCCAATTCAGAAGACAAGGGAACTCCTGGATCAAGTATTGGGAGAAATGCTGCCTTCGTGACGACTTTTTGATGGAACTAACCCGCAATTGCTATGGAGAATTAAACCACCCATGGTTTAATTCTCCAACTTAACTCTAAAACCTCCAACTGTTAGAGTGACGGCAAGGGACTCTAACCCATGTTCCATCTACCACTGAGGATATTTTACGTCAGCACTGTGGTCGAATTTGTATCGACCAGCCATCACAGGGATTCGAATCCGGTTTGCCTCATTGGGAGGTGAGCACTCTATCTCCTGAGCCATCGCGGCTCATCTTAGGTTAAGAGTAAAGATCCAATCAAAATTAAAACATCTTTAACAAATCCTGAATTATAAAAGAGAGCGAAATGATCTACCCACATTTTAATCCCTGCTGGACAAAGGCTATCCTCAATCCCTTCATTGGAACTCTTCTCACAGTTTTGACCATCAATAACGTCACCCCAAACAGGTGTTCCAAAAACAGAGTACGGTCGGAAACACATTTTATCGTAGATTTCTACTTTTTTAAGTTATAACTAAATAAACAGTATAATTAAAATAAATATTTAATTAAATTATTTAAATTAAAATATAAATGAAAGATATTTAACTCTATACTGATCGGGATGAGAATCATCTGAAAACTCCGTGTTCCTTTTTTTTAAAAATCCTTATCTTCCTCGAGAACGGAATAAAATTGTATACAATCTAAGGAACTTTTGATCTTATGATAATGGCTTAAGAGACATTTGGTCTCTTTACTGTTATTTTAACGTCTCTTTTTAATTTTACTTTTTGTGTATTTCGTCGTAACTCGAGAACTTTTTAAGCTCATGGAACATTTTTTATTCACAATTATAAAACTCATATATCTAAAGATAATTCCAGGGATGCACCGTGCAGTTCTGAAAAAAAAAAGATGTCACCCTGAATAATTTTTGTTGTAGTGATCGGATTTCCACATACTAAGTGTCAATCTTAATGGTTCTTGGGGGCGGCCTCAAATGTGCTAATCCCTTAGTGTCAGCTGTTAATTAAGTTACAAAATCGTATACAAAAGCGAACTTCTGTGAATAAACACATACTTTTTTCACATATTTGGATTATTAATGGATGTTGGGAGTAGCCGCAATCTAGGAAATATGGTCCCCATAGTTTGAGCGGGAGAGCGATCCGAAGTTCGGACCCCTTAATGTTAGTTTCACTTTTTTCGTTTTTAGTCATATTTCTAAAGCTAATTGAGCAATTCAAATAAAATTGCCTCTACTTATAAAACCAGTTTACCCAATAATTTAATTTAATTGTGGATAAAAAAAATTGAATTATGAGGTATAAATTTTTAATACCATACTAATCTACATATTTTTCGATCGAAAAATCATAAATTTCAACTGTTTTTATTCAACTGTTGTTGTAGAAGCCGAGAAAAATTTTAATTAATTATTTACGATAATAATAATAATAATAATAATAATTTCGCGACAATAAGGAAATATTTTTTAGTTTGTTCTTTCAATAATTGATACGATTTCAATAATATACATTCGTATGTATAGGTTTAGAACAATATATTTATCGATTTCTTCAATATATATATTATAATTACTTATACGAATGCATAGCTAACATTTTTAAGCATCTTAAAATTTCTCAACTTCGCACATATCGTCTTAATTTGAAAATAGATTTTTTAATCACCTCGCCACGCGTGTTTCGCAGAACTATTTTACCAACTATTTAATTATAATTTAACATTTCTCATAATCTTATTCTTTACGCTACCACGCAGATTTTTTTTCTTCAATAATATACTTTACTCCTTTGCAAGTTAAAAGAAGACCATTGCGGTATAGGATTTAAGTAAGCATCCACGATTGCATACGTTTTATTTTGTTATTAAATTATATAAATATGCTTTCAAAAACAATATAAAAGCTTTTAAAGTTAAGCTCGTTAGACAGAAATTTAATTTGAGCTATCTTTAACGAATAGAATTATTAATCAGAGAATTATTAATATAGAATTATTACCATAGAATTATTAAAAAAAACATTATTGTTTCGTAGTGTCTTACTGAAATCCTAAACTTGGAGCCATATTTCGATAAATAAGAATTCGTTCTTGAAAAAGAAACAAATATATAACGTTGCAAGAGCATTGGATTTAATTGGACCGCTAAAAATGGAGCGCCTGCTGACATACCTGTAACAAATCAAATGCGAGCGAAACAATTTTTTTTACTTTTGTGTCGCGGTAGAAGAAAATCGTCTGCAAGAAACATTATCAATTCTTCTCTTATCAGCTTTTTTAAAAAAAGAATATTTGCTACAATTTTTTCATATAGTTTTTATTAATTCTTGTTAACAAAACAACAATTTTTATTCAATAAATCTTATTTTTTTTCACTTCGCGCGATTTAAAAAAGCAAGCAAAAAGAAGGCTGTGCAACGTTGAATCGCTAAAAATGGCGCTTCTTATGCTGACATATCCTTAACAAATCAAACACGGATTAGTAATTTTTAATTTTAGTTCGATGCAGATGGAAATCGTCTGAAGTAAACAATATTTGTTATTTTTTCTTCAGTTTTTTTTAAATACGAACAGAAAGACATATTTTTTTTACGATTTTTTGAATTTTATGAATTTTTAAAACTTGTTAATTAATTATTGTTAATAACTGTTTGTTCGTTATCGTTTAGAGGACAAATAAAGAAATTAGCTTTTATTCAATAAGTCTTGTTTTAATCATTTCACACGAATCTAAAAAGCAAGTGAAAAGAAAGCTGTGTAACGTCGTTTCAAGAGTTGGCGATGTTGATAGACGTTCGGGCTGGGAATTTAGCATCCATTTGGCGTGCAAACAGGCTGTCTCCATGGGGATAATGATTTTTTTCTTAACTTGCAACAGAGTATAATAAATTTTTTCAGTTTTTTAATTTAGATTTTCCTTCAAAAATTCGTTTTAAATTATTATCAAGTTTCTATTAAAAGAAAATTTAGAATTATTGCCAGCTAGCTGAGAATTAAATCTTGTTAAGAAATTAAAAATATTCTTCGGTTTAAAATTCTTCGATACAAAACAGCTGACTATTTACTAAGCATACTATTTTTTTCGAAAAATGATGATAAATTATTGATTCTGTTTTTCATTGTTTCTTATTTATTTGAGTAATGAAAAGTAAAAACATATATGTGCACATCAAAAATAAATAAATAAATAAATAAATAAAATAAAATAGAAAATAAAACAGTTTGCTTTGTTTCTTAAATGAGCAAAACTTATGGACATACAATTTTATTTTGACGATCAAACTTATTCTCGCCCTCTAACTTTAAGAAAGATGCACTTTTGAGAAGGATGTTGAAAAAATTTGCTTAAAAAAGTTCTTAATATTATTTTTCAACTTCAGAGAAATTCAAAAAAATATTGAAAGTGCTCGATACGCCTTATTTTGTTAAACAGTAAATACTAAAAAGAAAAAATTGCAAAAAGATTCCAAAACCAGAATCATCATCTCAAAAAATTGTTCTTTTGCTAATTTTATAATTTCTTTAATTCTTAAATAAGATGTAGAAAAAGATTTCTGGATAACAAGTTATTTTACAGCTGTAATTAATATGTTCAGCAAATAGTTTTAATAAACTTTTTTTTTTAAGAAATTATAAATAGAAACTGTTCTTCTATTTCGTCGTTAAAAGACAAGAATGTTAATGTTTCTCTTATGCTCAATTGAAACGTGACAATGATTTAATTAATTCCAGAATTGATAGCTGTTTGGACGTAACATAATTAATTGCTTGAAACAGTCAAAAATTATTAAAAATTAAACTTATTCCTTTATTTTGCTAAGAGTGACAGGAGAAATGAAGAAAATCCTCGTTTACCATCACACTAACTATTCATACATTTAATCATAAAACTTGAATAATTTGAGCAAAAAAATTAAATAAAAGGATAAAATATAAACCCTTTTGAAATATGTCCTTTAGTATGCACTAAAATATACCTACAATAGATTTTGGATCGGAGAATAAAAAATATATTTTCCAAATATTTCGAATATGGAGGGGGGCGAGATGTTAACTTGTTTGAAATAATTGACTTTGTAACTACTCAACTTTGATTCCAGGGGAGCATTCTATTATCTCATTCTACTTTTGAAATTTCAATTATCGACGGAATCGTTTAACATTCTAAAAAATGTTTTTCACAGCAGCAGTCAATAAATTAATAAATAACAAAATGAAGGAAAAATTAAACAAAATGTAATAAAATAAATGATTAAGTAAAAATGTACTGCTATGAATATTTTAGAAAAGTTTTGACAAATTATATATNAAAAAAAAAAAAAAAAAAAAAAAACATCAGTCTGCTTTGTTTCTTAAATGAGCAAAACTTATGGACATACAATTTTATTTTGACGATCAAACTTATTCTCGCTCTCTAACTTTAAGAAAGTTTCCTTTTAAAAAGGATAATGTTGAAACAATTTGCTTAAAAAAAGTTTTTAATATTATTTTTCAACTTCAAAAAAATTCAGAAAATATTGAAAATGCTCGATATGTCTTATTTTGTTAAACAGTAAATACTAAAAATAAAATTTTTTAAGAAAGATTCCAAAACCATGCCATTTTTAAAATCATCATCTCAAAAAATTGTTTTTTTTTCTAACTTTAGAATTTCTTTCATACTAAAATAAGATGTAGTAAAAGATTTCTGTATAGCAAATTACTTTATAGTCGTAATTAATATGTTCAGCAAATAGTTTTAATAAATTTTTTTTAAGAAATTATAATTAGAAATTGTTCTTTTATTTCGCCGTTAAAAGACAAGAATGTTAATGTTTCTCTTATGCTCAATTGAAACGTGACAATGATTTAATTAATTCCAGAATTGATAACTGTTTGGACGTAACATTTAATTGCTTGAAACAGTTAGAAACAATTAAATTTATTAAAATTATTAGAAATTAAACTTATTCCTTTATTTTGTGACAGGAAAAATGAAATAAAGCCCCGCTTTACCATCATACTTACTAATCATACAATTTAATCATAACACTTAAATAATTTAATAAAGGATAAAATAAAAAATAAAATAAAGGATAAAATCTAAACCCTTTTGAAACATGTCCTTAAGTATACACTAAAATATACCTAGAATAGATTTTGGATCGGTGAATAAGAAATATATTTTCCAAATATTTCGAATAGGGGGGGGGGGCGAGATGTTAACTTGTTTTAAATAATTGACTTTGCAACTACTTAACTTTTCCAGGGGAAGGGGGTCATTCCATTGCCTCATTCTACTTTTGAAATTTCAATTACAGACAGAATGGTTTAACATTCTAAAAAATGTTTTTCACAGCAGCAATCAAAAAATAAATAAATAACAAAACGAAACAAAATGAAACAAAATGTAATAAAATAAATGATTAAGTAAAAATGTACTGCTATGAATTATTTAGAAAAGTTTTGACAAATTACACATTATTATATTTTTTCAAAAAAAAAAAAAAAAANAAAGAAATTTTTAAAAAAAAAAAAAAAAAAACCATAACCATTATCTTACGTAAAATTAATTTTAATATCGCATTAAGTAATTTTAATATACTGTATCACTAAATGAATAATCCCCGGAAACTGAATCTGGAAGATAAAAATTTTATTACCTTCAAAAAATATAAAAATGCAAATAAATGTCGACATGCTTTGATTGCTCAAAAATTCGCGTCACAAGCGTGTCATAAACGTCTAGCGAGCCCTGAGAATGGCGTTTGAAGCAAATGTTTAACGCGCTCAAAAATAGGCTCCGATTTCTAAGAGTCGGTAGACGTGAATTAAGAAAACTAAAGTGTTTTGAAATAAAAAAAAAATGCATGATTGCCAACGAAAAATGGAAAATAAAACTGGAAAAAGAAACTAGAGAAACCGTGGTAGCTAGTGAGTGAAAAAAAATAATAAATTCCTTGCCAGTGCAATCTTGGCTGTATTGTATAAACCAAACGAGATTTAAAAGTTAGACTAAAGGAACACTGTAGATAAGTTCTTTTTCAAGAAGGCGATTAATCTATTAATACACATTCTTTGCATCTTGGAGATAAATGTAATCTTGATAGGGCCAAAATTCTAACCACCCCTGCCACATCAGCTCATCTTGATACTCGGGAATCCTGTTTTATTCATATGAATGCTGATTCCCTTGTTAACGACATTAGTTTCGTACCATCTCTCCATGGTATACGGAAATGCATTTTGCCTTTCCCGGCTACTGCGATTTTACCCGGTATTTTGCCCGGCTATCATCACAATTTTTGAATATGGAATTGTTAAATATGGAATTGGGTGTGGAATCCAAATGTGTAAAAAATATATTTATTCAGAGAAAGTGCGTTTTTGAGTCTGATTTCGTAACTTAATTTATAGTTAGCACTAATTAATTAGCATATTTGAAGTCACCCCCAGAAACCATTAAGATTGACACTTAGTACGTGAATTTCCGGTCACAAGAACAGTAGTTATTTAGGGTGATATATATATATATATATATAATAAATAAATAAATACAAGAAAACACTAAGAAAGTTAAGAAAAACAATAAGTATCATTTATTGCGCTTGAGCTGCAAGTAAACAGCACTCATTAGATAAGTTCAAAATGAGGAATAAAACAAAGAAAAATTATAGACATATGAAAAAAAGGGGGTGGGAAATAATAAGTAAGAAAAAAACAACAAACAACATTTTATTAAAAAAAAAAAAAAAAAAAAAAAAAAAAAAAAAAAAAAAAAAAAAAAAAAAA